GATGGCTCAGAAACTGTGAAGAACTCAGTCGTCTCCGCAGTTTCAGTGCTAAACTGTGCTGCTAGTTACAAGTCCCTGATCAGAGCCACATGCCCTTGTGATTAAAGCAGCAGCATCAGAGGACGATGTTGTTGTCAGGGGGTGGTATTTAAAAGCTTGTTCCTTAAGTAGGCTGGTGAACAAATGCGACAGCCGGGTGATAGGAAGTCCAATGGACTGTTACCCTTGCGTTTCAGCATAGCTTATATGCTGAATATAGTTGTCATCTTTGTGGGTCAGAATACCTCAGTTCACTCTAGTGGTAAATAAGAGCAGCAGCAGCACAACTAGAAGAATGTGCTTTTCCTTTCTCATGCTTTTCATTTAATCTTAGTCATGCCTTTTGTATAAAGAAATGCTTGTTAGGAGCAGTTACTTCTAGTCATGTATAGAGAACAGATGGATTCCATCTATCTGCAAAACAATGTGGCTAATCATGGCAAATCTTACAATTTTCTACATTAAAATGATGTGGGAAAGAATGCTATGTTTATTCAATATTCTTTAAAAATGCATGGATTAACAGTGAGAGTAAAACAATCTCAAGATTTTGTGTGTGAAATCATGGAATTACATTTCGCTTCTTTTTTTAGAATTCAAGATTTTACAGTATATGTACTGTAGACATTTGTTTTTTAAACATGTATAAATTCCAACATTTCAATTGTTACGCCTGCCAGTTACCTGAAACAACCTGTCAGTTCTGTAAAAGTGCTTAATATTTTACATTTTTTAGAATTATTATAAGTGTAGTTAAGCCTTATGAATGTTCTCAGTGTAAATTCTTGGAAATTAGGAAAAATTAACTACAAAAACAATTTTACCATGAGGAAATACCAGCAGTATCTCTTGGTAGACTTACTGTAGGCCACACCTTTAAGGATTTCAAAAGTCTCGAAACAGGGAGCTCATTGCTCCTCAATGGGGAAAAACCTGTGGAATCAATTTGTCATTGTCTAAAATATGTGACAGTGATGCAAACTGTGAACCCTGGATAAAAGAACTGCTGTTTAATGTAGTACGGTATCCTGTACAAGAAGACCAAGACTTTTATTTTCTTCCAGAAAGAGATCATGTCCTCCACATTTGCACAGCAGGTCTTGGATTTTTAACTGGATGATTGAAAGGACATATTCTTCCTTTGTAGTAGGGGTAAAAACAACAAGACGTCAACGCAATAAATATTAAGGCAGGCATAGATGAATCTGAATGTAATTAGTTGTCAGACGGTACAGAGAAGAGTAATTGCCAGCCTGATTCCCTGTGAAAGATGATAACGTTAAGGCTTGGAACTTGGTCCATGAGGGAACACATGGTAGGAGGAACATGTTAAGAGTAAGAACTTGGCAAAACTGTAGTGAATATGTTTTCATTTCACAGTACTGTTCATCCAGTTAAGAGTTCACAAAGTACTGTACCTCCATCTTCAGATCTACACCTAGTACACCATGGTACAAAACAAAGCTACATGCAGCTGTGGTCTCAGATGTTCCTACACTCACTTCATGATGTTACAACACACATCCGAGAATGGCATGTCTAAGATTTTTAACTTACTCAGGAGCTCCTTCTATCTGTAAACGTTTCCTAACTCACTTGGAATGGCGTTTGAAAAAAGTAAGACTGGCCACCCCCCCCCCACCTCCCCATACCATTATAGCAAGGGGTCGTCAATCGTTAAGTTTGCACTGAGCTGGTGCTGGTGCCTGTTGCGCATGCTGCTGCTGGATCTCAGATAAAGGTCGTCCTTGTGACAGAGGATGTGCTTGGAGATTATCTTGCGGAAGGTGTTCCTGAAATCCCGTATCCGGTAGGCGTAAATGATGGGGTTGACCACCGAGTTGGCGTGAGACAGGATGATGGCCAAGTACATGATGATGGTGGGCTTTTGCAGTTCCTTGTAGAACAGCGTGAGGCAGTTCAAGATGTGCACAGGCAGCCAGAAGAGAGCAAATAGGCCCATAATGATGGACAGCGACTTGGCGGCGTTGATCTCCTTCTGCAGGAGCCGCCGGGAGCTCTCGCCGTGGACGCTCTTGAGCTCGATCTGGCGCAGCTGCATGCGGGCCACCATGAAGATCTTGATGTAGATGCCCAGCATGATGAGCAGCGGCAGGAGGACGCAGCCGAAGAAGTTGAAGTAGACCATGTAGCTCATGTCCACCACACTTTCAAAGAAGCAGTCCAGCTGACAGCTCAGACCACTGCTGCTGCTCTCGTTCCTCCGCAGGGAGGCGTTCCCAGAATTCCCACAGACCGAGTCTTTTTTGTTCCACCCCAGGAACGGAGTGAGGCCAATGATGAAGGACAGGATCCATAAAATCGCGATGATCTCTCTGGCTCTCTTGCCGGTTACCAGCTCCTTGTATCTGCAGAGAAACGGCATGGAGTAAAATGTGTCTCAGTCAGCTCGACCTTTCTACAGGTGGAACGCTTTTTTTATGTCCTCAAAGGAAACAGTTAAATGTTGTCTCGTAAATAGTTTCTATTCTCATCCCTTTCACTACTTGCATAAACTGTGAGGTTTGCTTGTGTTAACATGCAGAAACGCAACATATCAGACGAGATGAATCACTCTATCTTTGACCGCCTTTACTTCTCTGTAGTAAAAGTAATTTTTTTAACATTTGCAAAATCAAATCCCCAAATGTAACAGTAACAGTTTCTTAAACTGTTTTTTCAAAAATGTTTTTTCAGGTATTTTAGTTTTTTAGTGTTCCATCTCATCTCTGTAGAAGCATTTATCAGAAATTTAGTCATCTTGATTTGGTACTTATAAAAGCATGACAGTTTTATGTATATAGGAGTTCAGCTTTACTTTCCATGTAGTGATTGATTAAATACTAGAAAAAATATCTGAGCAGAGATGCTTCTACTGAAAACAGGAAGACTAAATTTTGTTTCAGAGAAATGATGTACTGTAGAACAAAGTAGACTGGATGAAGGAACAAAATGTCATAATCTGTGCTATTGTATTTTTACAGATTGTCTTTGGTTAATGCTAACTCACAGTTAAAAAGGTCTCTGACTGTATGTCATTGGTGTCTGCTTCCTCTAAAATACACTGTTATCATCAGTCTTGAAATGTGTGGAATACAGTGCTGAAACAAACTTAAACAAGAACTGCACTGGGACGACCACAGTGAATGTAAAGCACCTGGCAATATAAGCTACCCAACGTTTTAAAACCCCTTTTTATATATAATACTGTCTGAACTCGTACAGATTAATAAATTTAACAGGAATTGAATGCTGTTTAATATTTCACTATGATTGTTGAACTTGAAATATAAACCTTCCGTCTTGTATCCAGCTTAATTTTATTTTCCACCCTTGGGCAATATTCGTGACGTGATAAAGCAGTTCAATAATTTAAATAACTATCGATTTTCAATGTAACAGTTAGAGGAACTAACAGAGGAGGCTGTTCAACTTCATTGATTGGAAAGGCAGCATACGTAATAGAGCTCACTGTTGGGTAATTAAAATATAGCTCTCTGTCAACTAAAAGTTCTCAAATCCAACTGCTGTGTCTGAGTGGCCTTTTCTGAAATTATATCTGTTAATAGCAGCAAATCTAAAATCTTTACCCTTATTTGCTTAAGATCTTACAGTATTCAGTTTAATACTTTCTGCTTCTTATCTTTATTTATTAAATGTGAGTCTATTAAAGGGGTAAAAGACATGGCAGTGTTGCCGAGTGTGTCACTGCAGACTGTATTATAACATGCACTGCCATGCCCCAAACCCATAAACCACCAACAGACTTGATGTACTGTAGCCATTTCTGATAGACTGAGAAATGTGACCCTGTGTCCATGTTCAGGTCTCTTGCATGACTACTCTACCATAAGGAAGCAGGTCTGATCATCTGTGCAAATAAAATAACTCTACCGTATAGCCCTAAAATCATGGCTGTGTGACCTCTGAGCTGCCCAGGGTGCACTGCAGCGAAAGTCAGGCCCTGTAAATGGTGTTTCCTGAAATAACACTGGAAAGAACCAGACCAGGTCGAGGGCTGGTCCCTAATCGGGTCTAATCCCTGTTCAGCTCATTGGACTGGTCAGCCTCAGCATTTCCCATTTTAAAACAAAGCGTGATTGAAGGAGGAAGTCTGTGCTACGCACATCAACCTCTTCTTTTGGTACTGCACTCTTTTTAAGAAGAAACAAATGTAAAAACTGTAAGAAGAGTAAAACGAAAACAGGTGGCAGTATCCAGGAGACAAATTCATCATGGTTACAAATTCTGGGTAATGACAGTGAGTGTAGGGAGTGTAAAGCCACTGAGCTAATTATGTTCTCTTTGACATTTAGTTTTCACCTTATTTTCACTCATTTTGGCACCTTCTGCCCACTGTGTCTGAAATAAGAACTGCTGGCGTTGTGGCACAAATGTCATGCAGAGGCCAGTGAGCGCCAGGTTGATATGGGTTATAGTTATTATTTTTCTGTTTTCTTGTGTAAAGTATTGGTATTTGAGATATCACTGATAGCCTAACAACTCCGTCACATCATAGGTAAAAATACTGTAATTGGAAATGTGTCTATATTGGTAATATGTTACAATGGCCTCTTTTGAGTTTTGCTTTGTTTTTTGGTTGTTGCTTTGCTTCTCTGAAACACAACCTCAGCACTACAAGAGATATATCTGGTGCTACTCCTATGTGACCTTTATGTTCTAACCGCAGAGGGTTGTATTATTAATTATTAGTGGTCACATTCAATATTCTTTGTGTGTACCAGAATATTTTGGCTGTATTTACAGAACCACTGCAAGTTTGTGGTCTTATATGATAAACGGCACAGGCCTGGCCAACCAACAGAGCACACCATAATATACCATCTCACCATTATATACAGTATATCATTACACAATATATTACACCATAATCTTCCATCACATCAAAATTTGATTATACCATAGTATCACACCATCATCTACCATTACTTCAGATCACAGCACATGTATGATCTCACCATGTGGCCCTAGCCAGGCAGGTGTGGGTCAGGCACTTCTCTCACTGTGCAGGGCCTTTCTCTTTACAGGCCCGGAAGAGAGCTTTAAGAAAGGAAGAAAGTCAACTTTCAGGGTTTTAGTGTCAGAGAATAGCTTAGCCCCGATACTGACTGAAACGATTCTGCAAAAAAAAAAGTCCTGTGCTTAGGAATTCATCTTTTTCGTCTTATTGCCGATCAGCTGATTTGACCACACCAGACTGACTGGCACTGCTGCTCCCTGCCAGATACACAGAGTGACAGTACCATTACCAAACGCACTCAGACACATGAATACAGCACCATACAAAACAACACTGCGGTCTTCTGCTCTTGTGTTGTAAAAATGACAGTTCTTATACCCAGTGGGAAAAGAAACGTTTTCTGTAATATCTTCGTTGTTGTTATTTATCATGTGTGGTTATTTGAGAAGGTCTTTCGGAAGTAGAAAAGAACTGATTATAGTGTGATTCATAACTAGCAAAACTGTTATCTTGTGAACTTTGCAAAGAGGATGTGTTTCTTATGTTGGAAGGACATTTTTATTTGTTTTATTTCACCACGGAAGTGTGGTTTGCCAAACCCTGAAGGATCTCTTCAGGAAGCTGAACTCTGAGGGGACTAGAGAGGTTCTGTCGGTTGAAAGCTGGGAGACACTGGCGACGCATGATTTATTTGAACCTTGAGACACAAGTGTTGTGATTAGGTTGCAGACACCTTGTGATTTACGGGTTGGGTTTTTGCTTGGACCTGCAGTACCTAAAGTTTCTGCAGTTTTGTTCACACAGCACTTTGCTTTCCCTCGGCTCTCACCATAAATAACACCCTGTTTCGCGAGATCATAGCTGATGCATTAATGGGCTGTCTGGAGCCCCTGTTTAGGAAGCTCCAAGACGTGAGGAGGCTGTCCTGCCTACTGCAGGGGTTTCTATGGTGATGTCTCACTTGAGCTGTGGTCTGGCAGTTAATCAATGCTGTGGACGGCTCTTTAATGAAGCTGCCGGAATTCTCTCGGTGGCCGATGAAAGGATTGAATGGATTAATCCTGGCATGACGACAGCTGATTGGCATGCCATCTCCAGCTCCTTCGTAATCCCATTTATAACCCAAGTGGTCTGTTTCCGCCTGAACCCCAAACCTTGGCAGCAGACTGGCAAACGAAACCGAAGCCTCTAAAGGTACAGGTCGGCGATGTGCCACCGTTTTCCTCTGCTGGTAAGGTGCAATACCTTGCTGGGATATAGGCAGAAAAAAAATTGGCATGAAAGCACCCAAACAGGCCGACAGGCTGGGCCAAGGGCCGGGTGTTTGTGGGATCGGCTGGAGAGGGGAAGGGCCTGGGAAAAAGGAGGAACGTCCAGAGAGCACAAAGACTGAACTATTATCCCCGGATTCGAATAAACACTCACACTTGGCTGACAGCACCGCAGGAATCAAATGCGCTGAAAACAGTCATGTCTAAAGCAAAGGATTCTGAAAATATGCAAACATAATCAATCCTGATGTTCCATTTTCACAGTTTTTTTCCAGTGGATTAATTTTGCACTGGTACAGCAGTCCAGTAATGTTTGAGGAATTTAAACAGAAGCAGAACACAGAATTTAAAAGCCTAGTTGGCTTAGAACAAGGCAGATGAGCAGGTCAGTTAAGACTGCCTTGTCGAAGTTGTCTGCTTTGAGCAAGTCCAAAATCTTTACCCTGTATTGTAGTGTCACGTATTTCTGCTATGTAAGCAAGTACTATATGTACGGAGATCTTGAAATTATTTAGCACACTTTCTATTGAAATCTCAGGTATATATGTTTTGGTTTTCAGTTGCTGAGTATGAGATGGACATTTGAATATCCTGAGTGGTTCTGTGAGCTGGCATTGTCATGAATGTGGTATCTAGTATGTTCTGAGTATTGACACTTTACTGTAGGTGCTTATTGGAACATCTGGTGTATGTATTTCCTCAGATTCAGCTTACTGTGTCAATAAGATCTTCTTTGGATCCAGCCAACTCTAAACGATAATGCCCAGTTAAAGAAAAGCAGGCAGGTCTTTTGTGTTCCTGTACAGTAGTAACTCCTCGGTTCTCTTAGTGAACAGAACCCTGACCCACCTGGTCATGACCTACAGACTATTTAGATTGTGCTTTTGGAATAGGCTGAAACTTATCAGGGCATGTAATAAAACCTTCAGATTCAGTTTGCCCAACCTGTCGTATTCATACTGGAGAACACAGGCCATCCATGTTGATTTCATACGCCCCATATTGAAGTCTGTATTTCATTACTTAAGTGTGTAATAAAAGTAAAGCTTGGTCCGGATATTAAATGCACAATCACAGGGTGATTTATGGTGAAAAGCTAATTAAAATGATGAGTTTTAAAACTATTCTGAGCAGTAGGGATATTAAGTTTTGTGCTTTACTCAAATATCTCATTGGACCTTTTTATTTCACCTGTGGCTCTTTGGCCAATGGGAAGACAATTCTCTTAGCTGTTCGATTCCCCAGAGCACAATCAGACTTGGACAAAGACGACATTCAGCGCACAAAACTGTGCATCACTGTTTCAGGTTGTTGTTCTGTTTAAGTACTTAAAGAAATATCAGCTGGTTTTGTTTTCCAAGTTTTAATCAGGCACTAATTGAACAGAATCTCTAAAACCTGCAGGATGCCAGCACTGGAGGGCTAGAAATGCCCTACCTGGCCTACAGTACAGACTATAAATAAATACGATTAAGACAAAGTTGTCCTCGGGCTGGACTGAATGACACAACAGCTGTTGTTAGTCATAGGGGGTTCTAGCCGGTAACAAAACACATAAATCTGCCCGGTTCTGACTTTGTTTCTGTCCTCCTTATCCATCTTTAAGTCTGTGATTGCATTTCTAGAACCACCACATTTTGAAAATTAAATCACTCTTCACGTGTGATAAGAAAACTTTAACGGTTTCATTCTCACGGTCTGAAAGCCGCCATCCCGATAAAAGCTTGTGTCATGAAATTGTCTCACATCATTACACTGAGCAAACCACAGGTAGAGAAATATGAAAGAAGAATGCTGTTTAAAGCTGCAGCAGGCTGTTACACAGCAGCAAATCTCTTTCATGCAGCACAGTGATTGTTCAGCGCTTTACTTGTGTGTGGGGAGAAAGGCTTCATTGAATTGAGTTTAGCCGTTGATCAATTTCTCTGTGTTACCTCAAGAGGCGTTTAAAGGGTAAGTTGTTGTGTAAAAGCTGAGTTTTGGCAGCCCTAAAAACAAAGTGACTGCCCAGTGGCTTTTAACACAGGGACGGGATGTGAGGTTTCATGCTCTATGAAAAGTTCATTCTAAACACAAATGAACATTTCTGCTCCACTCCTAACATGGCGTAATAGATTAAAATTTCTCAGCTACATAACACAATTGCAAACCTGGGAATACACAAATAAAGTACAAAATGATTAAGCATTCACATTGTATTCACATATACGTATTCTTGTATAATTCCCCAAGGTGTTCACATCAGCTATACAGAGACGTAAGTATATGGATCTAGTGAATACCGAGCTTTGTGTCAAGTGAAGTGTACATTTGGCACAGGTGTTCTTAGTCTGTGGCTTGTTGTTTGTGTGGTGAGCACTAGATACCGCCTCATTCAAAGCAAGAAGTGAAACTGAGGTTTTGATATCTGCTTCCGTGTCACACATAAATGCAAATACTTATTTTTAACAGATCTGATTTGTTTATAGAATAGTCAAGCAGGATCTTGGGGGGGGGGGCAGAAACTGTTGCTACCTCCAGAGAGAATTTACCATGTCGTTTTTCTTAAATAACTCAGATGTTTCCCTAGTGACTGTGCGTTTCGTTGCAAGTACTCATGTCACTGTCTTAAAATATCCATTCTTCCATGCAGCCATCCATTATCCGAGAAATGCTTATTCCTGGTATGGGTCACTGTAACAGAGCCTATCCTGTAAATACTGGACGCAAGGCAGGACTGTAGCCTTGACATGGCAGTTTTCACATTCAGGGACTATTTAGTGATGCCTGCTGTCCTGGCGAGCATGTCTTTGAAGGGTGGGAGGAATTCAGGACCCAGGAGGAGCATGCAGTCTCCACACAGAAGGATTTTGTAAGCCAGATTTGCAGGGCCCTACAGCTGTGAGGCAGGAGAGCTGATTGCAGTGCCACTGTGCTGCACATCTTAACATACATGCTGTACATTCTGTAGGGTGTATTGTGAGAAAACATTTTAAATGGATAAAACAGGCAAAAAGCCACTATTTTTTTAAAGATGCAGAATGTAATGCTCTGATGGTGAGAGAGAAAACTTGTGCACAAGTAACCATAAGGAATGTTAAATGGAAAAGGAAAAATTTTACAGTACAACCGCAGAACGTGTCCTTTAGAACCACAGTCCCGCTAGTTTCATAGGTACAGCCACAGGCTTAAGTGGCTAAAGGCCTTGAAACTGTTGAATCAAATAATTTGATCAACTCCTAAGTGATTAGAAGGAAGGACAGAAAGCAAACCATCTTCAAAGGGGTTAATCTGGCTGATTTTGTTGAAAGAAACTCTCCTAAATTGACTTACCACTGCTGAAGAGCAGTACAAAGCTAAATACTGTAATCCCATTTTCACAACTTGTGAACAATGTTGCCTGACTGCAGGAGATTGTGAGTGATTGCTGGGTTTCTGCACAGCGCTCTCTGCTCAAGGACCAGCAGTGTCACTCCGTAAAGTGCAGAATGCTGATGGCATGAGGTGTTTTTGGATTTAGAGGTCACTTTTTGACCCCCCACAGCCAAGGCTGGGCAGTATAAGGATGTCTAAACTTGGTATCATGCGGTCAAGTCTTACAAGTGACCTTGAGGGAAAAGGGAGAGAAGTGTTGTAAGAAATTTTAGTTTTCCCATTAGCAGATGAACAAGTTTGTACTGGAGGTTTTAAAAGCCAGAACATCGTGGCATTCCTGTAATGCAAGGAAGCTCTTTTCATAGAAATACTGATCAATTAATGCTCTTGAGTGTACAGTATATACACCGTATACTTTGCAAATACACAGGCCAGAACGAGGATTGAAGTTCTAATTCTTTTTTGGTGGAAGTATAAAGATCATGTACTTCATGCACTTGTCAGAATAAAAAAGACCTTTTAACTCTCCATTGAACAGATTTTCGTATTCAGCCAAATTAAGCATATTTGCATAACCATCATGCAAATGTTTTAAGTTTGTTTACTGAACTAAGGCTTGACCAAAGACAGAAGACCTTGGTGAAAAACCATTAACTATCACGCTTCATACCTGAACTGTTGCCAGTATGTTTTCACAAAGAAGAATACATTACACATTTAGTAAACCAAGATAAAATATTAACCCATAGTGCTAAAAACCAATAGGTGGTGTTATTGAGAGATAAACACCAAGCGCTTTGTCTTGTTAATAGTAACGGTTACACATTCTGCGGTGCAGTCAGAAAAAGAGGGTCGTTTTAAAACTAAAATGGTAATTTTAAAAGTTACACAGTGGTTTTCCGGAGGGGATTGGGGTGCTTGTGAGTTGATCGAATACGCATTTGTTCAGATAATCATCTTGGAATTTGGAAATCGGAGTGCAAGCGTACGATTGAAAGTTCTGAACAGCTGTATGGCGTGTCCTGTATGTCTCATATGCGGGTTTGGCCATAGTTCTTGGTCGAATGTAGTTGTGATTGAGGAAACCAAGGCAATCTGTATTGGCTTTTTCCCTAAACGTTTTCCCCATGCCTCGATAAGGATTGATAGGATACTCGAGTTACAGTTAAAAGATTGCGTGGACACACGCTGTCATCTACACGTATGAAATGGCAGTTTTCCAGAAAGCCTTGTAACCCATTAACGCTATAACCTCGTCCCTAGCAAATGCATTTCTTTAACTGCACTGTTCTGCAGTGTTCGTGCCTTGTTATAATCCGCATTGCCAGCTGTGAATTCGGATTTATATTTTTATCTAAAGGGGGAAACAGCTGTGGGATGTAGATTTGAGAGGTGCTGGTGCCCGGAGAGGAGCTGTTCTTCCAGAGACCTGTTGCGGCCAATGCGTTTGTATGTCTAAAATCACCGGTATTAACGTTTTTAAATGTATCGACTTGTCTACAGGTATTAATACAGGAGAACTGGGCAAGTGCAGTTCTCTCAGCTTTGATTTTTTTAAAGCTATTACAGCATTATTGCTCGATGCTTTTCTAATAAGGCAAAGCTTGTGATCCGTTCCTGCTTAATTTCCTTGTCTGTTGTAACACGTTGTCCCTCGAAGTGGAATAGATGTATATGACTTCAGCTACTTGTAAACTAAAAGGAAATTAATATCACAGCTTCCTGACTTGTATCTACGTGACATGTCGCACACTAGTCTGAAATCAAATCAATAGCTAATAACGAGTACACTAGGTATCAGTATTTCAAGGGTATTGGAGGTCTGAAAAAAAGACACTCAGATACGGGTTTTTTATTTTGTGTTTCATTCCTGAGAGGAAGTTAAGACATTTATCTGGTTATATCTAGACTGTAATCCCCAAATTACTTAATCTTTTGAGCTAGCCCTCAGCGCCTTTTCAGTACATTGCTTAACAATTGTACTAGCAACAGCAGATGTCTCGGTGATAGAGCGGCTTTTGAGCATCAGTCATACTAGCAGAGGATACTTTCCAAACGGGTTATTTAAGAAAAGGAGCTGAACAGGTATCAACAGTTTGTCACCATCGAAAAAAACACAGTTTGAGCCTACATTTAATAATCCTTCAGCACACCATCGAACCCTAACTTAATCACGAGAATATTAGTGTTTTCCTCAATCAACAACTTTCATTTCTTCTTTTTGCTAATTTGTTTGGTTATTTCACAAGGAAATGGTTAGATCACAGTCTCGGGCGGATCCTTATTAGCAAACACTGTTAAAACATTGTAGCCGTAAATTACGATGGATAGTCGTTGTAACAGCTGAAATGACACAGACGTCGGCAGCAGACAACCCGATAGAGCGCCGCCGAGATCTAACTGTCCTGTTGCAGGAGGCTTTGAAGTGGCCAAAATTGTCGCGGGATGTTTCGCATGAAATCAGAATGATGTGTAGCTTGTCGACAGCTTACTAATTCATTCTAGCAGTTTGAAAGTGCAGTCAATGCGCCGAGACCAAAGCACAGCAAGCGCGACCCACCACCTGTTTGAATTCGCGTCACCTCAAGCTGCAGGCAGATAGAAAGGACTCTTTTGTAGTTGAATAGCTTTGCGTTAACCTGAACACCCATTCCCCTTAAGAAATAAGGAAGACCTCCAGAAAAGGGGAGAAAATAAATAAACTCACCTGAGCGGTATCTTGACGGCCAGATATCTGTCAATAGCCACAGCCAGGAGGCTAAAAATCGAGCTTTGAGTCAAGATGAGGACAAAACACGCTAGAAACAGGCACCCGTAGAAGTCCGACTTCAGGCCTATGCTGATGGTGACCGCAAACGGAATGGCCAGGCAGCCGACCAGAATATCTGCCACCGCCAGAGACACTAAGAAATAGTTCGTAGCGTTTTTCAGAGTGGAGTTGATGCTGACTGCCCAGCACACCAGAACATTGCCCGAGATGGACAGAAGAGCAATAATCAACTCAGTAACTATGTAGATCACGTCAATACAATGTAAGGTCATGCCAGAGAAGAATCGTTTTGTTCCTTTTAAAAGAAAAACAAAATCACATGGCTTGATGCAAAATTGCCATGTCTCGTGTGGAAATGAAGCAGCTCTGTTCCGTGCGTCCGGAAACCATTGAAAGTGTCATAATCCAGGCAGGGCACATCTTTCGAAAGTTTCATCCATCTGGGTGACAGTCATCTGTTTAGAAAAGAAAAAAAAAGTTTTCTATTGGATCATACACGGTCCTTTGTACGTATTGATATAAACGGATATAAAAAGGCACTTATTAATTGAATTGTTATATACAGTATACATTTTTACTGCTTGAATAATGTTAAAACCCATCGCTTTATACAATAATTTCCTTGTTAACACATTATAATTCGCGTGACTGAGGATGAGAATAAGTTTTAATTCTGCCCATCAGACAGCACGTTCAGTGTGCATTTTAATCGGCGTGAGCAGAGCGTCTCACCTTCGCCGGGAAATTGACCCGTTGTTCTGTCGGGCTCTGTCGGTGAAATGGACGAGTGTCCCGCACCCTAAGCGAACATGTTGCTTCGGCTCGGCACTGTTGCGCGGTCGAGCTGAACACATGGCTTTTCAAGCAGCGAGTCAAACCCCGACCCCACCACGCCCCGCCTCCCCACTGCTGCAGCTGCAGCCCGAGCGCCGAGCATGCGGCTCCAGCACCCGAGAACACGCGTGGCGAGCTTCATCTTTTCACGGCAAAATACGTCCACTACACACCGTGGGAAGAGCTGCGTACGTCCTGATATACAGATAATTTCAGTAAAAAAATGAATTATTGATAGGATGGCTTTTCCTGTGGGGTCGATCTTCAGTCATAACAAAATTAGACGTTTCAAAAGCTGTATCTGATTTAAATGTGGTATTATTTGGGAATTACCGGAGTGTGTGTTCTCTTACTAATTTGTTGGATGTCTTTAATTCACCGCTTTCCTTATGTAATTACTTGATCGATTGAGTAATATTTGGTTCAAATCTTTTATGAAGCTCTTTATCTGTGGTTTGATATGAGAAGGTTATTCTGAAATGTGGTAACTTTACTGTAATTGTTACAAACGTTTCATTCGCCTATTAATCTGTTGGCTGTTTTGTAACTCATGGGGAGGTGCTTTGTGTAAGATTAATGAAGAATAATTGATTGCCAAGTGTGTGGAAGTGCTATCACTTAATCTTTTTATTAACCTTAATGGAAAATGGATGTCTAAACTATAAAAGTATGAAGTTAGTGAGAGATTAAATTATTACCACGTGAACATTTAAAATTATTGCAGATAACACATATGGAGAATTCAGTGTCTGAAAAATATCTTGTAGATTCTTTTATTTTGTGCAGTTCTCATATAATTCAAGGCTTATTTAGTGCTAAATGCTAATGCTAACAAAATTGTGCTAATGCACTTTTTAACTAAGATACCTATACATACATTGATTTTTCATTAGATCACCAGACCATGGATTATTTTAAACCAAATGTTTTTTAGTACTCCAGTAGGCAGGACCTGACATTGTGGGTGGTCTTTAAGGGCTTCAAAGCTCTGTTTTGGTGATGACACATAAGTACTGTACAGGGATATTTTTCCTTTGTGAGGGGATTCATGTTGAGGGGAGTCAGTTGGCAGTTTTACCTCTTTGAATTGGATCAATAAAAGTAAAGTCTGTATTCGTCTTACCCAGAAGAAGGAAATGCATTTTCAGATTGTGATACTTTTAGGGAAAGAGGGCAAGGCTGCTGTGAATCCAGCTCAGTTTTCAGCACATTGTGAAGAAACTTATTGAACTGCTGCCATTGTCAAGCAGCTGTGCGAGAACAATATACGATCTCAAGAAACCGAGGAAGTAGGAAATATTATGGTTAAAAATATTACACATCCAAATTCTTTCAATTGATGGTGCAACACCCTACTACCTCACTTTCTGTTCTGTCCAGCTGCTTGAAGAAAAAACAGTACAAACCAGTGCTAAACTCACACACTACATTATAGATAGATGCTTTAAACAAAACTCAGGAAATAAAGATGTAAAGAGAAATATGTGAAAATGAAGCAGAAGCTAATATTAAAGATGTACAGTATGTTCCTCCAAAGGAATTACCTGGGACTCCAGATTTGCACAGGAAGGCTAAGCAGAGCTGAGGAAACTGAAAAATATTCTTTAAATAAGTTATATTCCTCTGTGTTGTTCTTGTTCCATCATCTCAACTAAATGTTCAATTCATTTACACTCGGAATCTGAGACACTTCTTTAGACTCACAGCTGTAACAACACATTGCAAATTGCAGGATAAAAAAAGTTTTATAAACAGTTCTTATCATTGATCCCACTATTGAACTCTTTGTGAGCTTCCAATTATAACTACATGTTTACATCATTCATTTTATATTGAAACTGTTCTTTCTCCTGTGGCTGTTCAGAAAAAAAAATATGCTAAGTTACTAGTCTTGATAGTCTGTTTCTCAGTTAACTAACTTTAACAGAAATAAGGACGGGTGCTGTGAATTCCGAGAGACCAGACGAAGGGTTTAGTATTTTTAATTCTTATAAATACTGATCCAGTGGTTTGGGCCTTGGATAACCTTATCCTGCTGAAAATGAGCCACAGGGAACTCTGTCTCATGTGATTATGTCTGGAGTCCGTAAACAGGCCTCTGGCATGGAGGAAAACATGCAGTCTGGTCCCAAAAGAACCATCTATATTAATACTGTAACTAGTGAGATTGGCTTAAAATTCTCTTCCTAAAGTAATGGTAGAAAGAACTGAAGCAGACAAAGAGGGATGTTATTTAAGTTTTAATATTTAGAATTCTATAACAGTACCACTTGTTATAAATAAATAGGTTTCCTATGGCACACAGCTGCAAGTTAGTGTTCAAACACTGGAAACACACCAGGATTACATTTCCATAAAGTCATGTGAGTTATAATTACAATTGTAAAGATGAAAACAGTTGAAACCTACTCTTAGTCCTGCACAACAAGTCGCCATTATTGTTAGATCTTGGGTGCACAAAATATTACCCTGAACTCCAAGCAAATTCAGTTCTTCAAGAAAAGATTTCACAAGACGAAGAGTTAATGGTGTACTTGAGTTTGCTCTAAAAGGCAGTGACAAAAGCTTTGACTTGTAGGAAAGTGCTGCTGTGTCTGTGCACTTCACTTCCTGATGCAGGCTGGTCTTCTCAGGTCTCGAAATACTTATATATCTGCGCCACGTACTGCATGACACTCTGCCAGTCCGGTCGATCTGTGTGCATCATCTCGTTAATGTCCTGCACAGATTGAAAGACAAAGTGGTGAGAGCATTGTATTCATAGAACCAGAGCACAACATTTAATCGGTTTCATGTCTCAGAGAAAACTGAAAGCAAAGTCACAGTGATTACATTTGTTGAAAGGACAATAAAACCACTGTGCTCTTAGAGGTATGTAAGAATTCTGGTCCTAAACAGTAGTGTTAACTCAGAACCATTCTCACTGGCACACCTCATTCCAACTCCTTAAATTCAAAAGTCACAAATTAAATTGTGAGTGGAAGATCATTAGTAAACATGATGCAGAATAAGGCAGAGAGAAGTGAATGATATTGCGAAGAACAGTGTATCTGCTCTGCAGAGGCTTAGCAGTAGCTGAGTTGGTGTTTATTATATATAACACTTATATTTTATAAAATTATAAAACTCATTTTTAATAAGACATAACATTTTGAGTTTTTCTAAAAGTGCTTCTAAATAAAATGATTGATAATTATGCCAAGTCAGTGCCAAGTGCGGAAGATGTAGTAGACAAATAGATGAATAAAGAATAACTAATCTTTACAAGGGATAAAGGTTTTAAACCAGAAATCTGGAACAACCTTATAATCCTCTTACTAAGGACCTTAAGCTTAGAGAGCTACTGGTGCTGCATGCGTGAGAAATCACCCAGCACTACAGTCTATGGATTACAACAGGCAGAGTTGGTACGTGTCACTCCTGGGCTGCCCTGGATCCATTTGTACCTACAGGGGGTTTGTGTTTAGACAGAGCTGTGTGTGCATTTCAATTCTTATTCTGACTGGAATGCCTGATACATTGTGAATGCATTATCTCGGTAGCCTGATTCTGTAAAGGATTAAGGTAAGGGAAGAACATATACCATTATGTTGAACCATAGTGTAGTTTGGAAAAAAACAAATGAATATTTCTTCCAAGTCCAGATCAAGACCTGTTGAAATTTGCATGGTGCATCAGTATCTTCTTAAAAGTTAGTGAATGATTAACACTGCAAAGGCTTTTCCTCAAGATTATGCTGATTACAGAGCAGAACCTCTTTCTTTGTAATGTGTTGATAGACTTAGAAATGTTATCGTGTGTCCCCCCCATCAGCTAGTACTGGGGTTTCTTGATTTGTCAGTCCCATTTTAAAGGTTGGAAGAGGAGAAAGATCTCCTAAGGGTCAGTGATATGGCTGGGCAGTAAAACCTGAGAGCCTAACACCAGCAATATCAGGTTCACACCCCCGATCCCCAGCTCCTGCAACTCGCCGATCAATTTCTTTTCAAACCATGTAATTGGCATTTCTAAAGAACAAAAACAAGGGAGAATGGGTTAATGATTTTCATAGTGGTAACAGCCCTTGAATGACCAAATGGATTTTGTTAGCTATTGACTATGTAATGTACAGATCAATAACTGTGCCAAGGAGATTAAGCTCCCACCATTTTTTTATACTGAATAACAAATATTGTCTGATGGAGATGCTTTACAGTATGGAGCACACTGATGTCTGGGCTCTTGTTTCAAATGAGCCATATATTAACATTATTTAATTTAAGAGCAAAAATTAAGTCACAGCTGTGTCGGTAATGTGTTTACTGGGAGTTACTGATAAAGAGCCTAATCCTTTAGAAACACTTTTCTTAGCATAATCTAGTAGCAGAGGTGATGTTTTCTGTATCACACTCAGTATTGCAAATGAACAGTAGGACTCTGGGTAATGACTTGCTCTCACAGTCTGAAATGCTTTTACTGTTATGACAAAAGAAAAAGAGGTCTGACTATTATATTGTAAGGTGAATTGCAAGAAAAAGAAAAGCTCTAAAGCAGCTGAAAAAATGTAAAGTGAACACCATAACGATCAAAACAGGTGTTGTACATGATGAATGTGCCCAGTGTCTTTTCTGAATTCTTTGCACAGGATGATGTGCAGTAAATCACCAGGAGGAGTGTAGCCTTTATTTAAGATGTCGTACTCAAAACGCACCATGCATCAGGATCAAGTCCACAGCAGCATCAATAACACCATCACAATCAAATCGGACACCTAACTGACATGAGACATGAACTATAATGGCAGGCTGGAGACTGATGATGTTCTGTGCTAAAAATGTTATTATTGCTAGCACCGCATCCTAGAGGTCATGTGACACTTTGCTGCACTGCACACGAAAGGTCACGTGACCTCCACAGCATCCCAGAATGTCCTTGTTCTCCTTAAATGCATTTTCTAAGGATGCTGACAGCCTTTTGGTAAAACAAAAAAAAAAAAAAACGTTAAAAAAACCTATTTATGCTGTATACTTATACTGATGTGCAAAATAAAGTGTATTCCTGGGGCCTTCCCAGTGGATCAACCAGTAAAGGTGGACATGTGTGCTCACAGGTTGTTTACGTCTGGATCACATCACTAGTCGGCTGTGGCTCGGCTTTCCCAAGCAGCAGCACAAAACGGATGTGCTGCTCAGCCCTGAATCTCCTGTATGGGGCAGGTGCCTGTGTCACATTAAAAAACAAGTGGTTCAAAGGTAGTGTGTTGAGGTGTCTGCCTAAACCTCTTCATTCGCCTCTGTGTGTGGGCAAAGGTTCATAGCTGCCAGCAGAGACTTCAAAACTATTTTAGAATAGAAAGAAAATAGTATTCCTGATAATTGGTAAAGCCTTTAAAACAATCAAACACCACTCAGTTAAAAAAGAGTCTTTTAGACATCTAATAGGCCATTTTATTTAAGAAGGTTTTGGATTTTCCTTGCCAAAGCTCTTGAGTGTGATGCATTCTAGTATCAAATGGAAAGGAAGTATCATGGCTCTAAAATCCCCACCTAGCTTCTTTTGTGAATAATAGGTCCATCAATAAACTTTATTTTCCTAAAGGTACTTGGACTTTGAGACAAAAACCTATAGCAAGCAATCTTTTAAGAATAGATCTTTGACACCCACATTTCAATTTAGCTTTTTTGTTATTTAATAATAGGACAGATACTACATACTACAGTCATGATTTATATAATCTAAACACAGTAATGTGAATATCTTGCATTTTGAAGATGTCTATTTTCTGCAGCAGCATAACTTCTTAACTGCTGTTTCATGATCATAACTGCACATCTGCAAGTAATAAATCAGCTTTGCATGTTTAAATTCACTGCAAAACAGTGTAAGAATATGCACATCTGCTGTATTTCTTACTCCATGTCATGCTAATTTATCCCCAGAGAGGTTAAGAAGACAGAGACAGTGTTAGTACTTCCAGGAACCATGTGAAACCTTGAGCAGCAGGGGCCTGAGTGCAAACTACTATGGCCTCAAGTCAGTTCCCATGAACTCTTCAATGTGAGTGGATCAGAGACAGTTGTGTTACACAAAGGGTTGTGGGAGTTGGGAACAAGACACTCAACCACGTTGTTGCAGCCGATAACCTGGGTTCTTGCAAGAAACAGGTGGATGAGAGCCTCAGGTCAATGTCCTCATGTTTGTAACATATATAGTTTATATAGTGGAAAATAACAGATCTGCCAAAGTAACACCACTTTCTGGTTTACCATTGAATAGTAGTAGAAAGGACTAATTTATTTGATAAATAGAAAAGGTTGGAGCAAGCAGACATTTTTATTCATTTTTGCTAAAATTATCAAATTAATGCTATTGGAAAGGCCTGTCCAACACTACTGCCACTTGACAATGATCAAACCTACTATAGAGTTTCAGGTTTCTAATTGGTATAGTCTTTATCTGATCTTAACACAAACTGCAGCAGAGTGCCTTGAGTCTTGCGGAACTTACCAGGGACGGTTTGATGCCAACACTTTCTGCTGCTTGGAAAGCCAGGGTTAAATTTCTGCTCTGTGAAAAAAGAAGAATTATGTGCACCACTGACACATTACATACAGACATTTGGTCATTCACACTGACCGAGGTGCACCTTAAAGATGTGGCTGATGTTTATAGGTCTGAATATAAACATTCTGGTATTTATGATGAACTACATGGTGAAAAATCTTTCAATTAAATATCATAATAGTAAACCAGCAATGTGGGCTACTGATTAATGTTTTATTTTCCAAAAAACTATTGGGAATATTTTAAAAGTTATGTGCTGTTGTCTACCAATACAATTTTGTTTGTGGAATGTAATGACTAATCATTTTAAAATAATCAAATGAAAACCTCTTAAATATTTGAAAAGGGACCATTATTTCATGCTACAATGATGTACAGGTAGCTCTTTGTTTTGTAGAATAATGTGATGAATAAAACATTTATTTGCAAGACATTTACATTGTGCATTCTCTTTTATGGCTTTCTTTTCACAACACATGCATCTGTCTAAATATTTACCAACACAAATGCATGTCAGCTGCTCACGGTACTGTGAGCAGGAGGAACAATAAGGGAACACTGCACCTAGACTGGTCTTTCATATAACATTCAAAGTGCTCCCACAGCAATCTCCACATGAAATTCAATTAACTGCATACTAAGCCATTGGTTACTTTGAAAAGGGCTTCGGTGTCCAGAGTTACTTGTTGAGTCAAATTGTAGTGATTGTCTTAAAAACATGGTGGCATTGTGATGCAGTAGACTGAAGTTGAGAAGAGTGTTGCATAAATAATATTAAAAAAACTTAACAGTATGTGCATGTGAATGACGGTGTGGTATGTCTGTTGCCTTAAAAAATCAACACAATCTTTCATTTTTATTTACACCCAGCACAGTGCATGTTAAAACATTTACCACTGTTTAACTGAGTAGGAGTAAACTGGTAAACACAAAGGTGACTCATCATTGTTCCGTGAAGTCGTCCTTGGCAATAAATTAAGAAAAGCTAATGATGTGGTGTGAAAGCCAGCCCCTCTGAACTAGAACCTGGGAGGGCAAGGCCAAGGGCCGAAGCAGCTGCAGCAGTGAGGTGCAGGGGCGCCCACCTTGTCCTGGCTGAGGAGCTCCTGGTAGGGGATGTGTGCTGGGAGGTAGGTGTGCAGGAGGGCACAGAACGCCAGGCCGTCGCTCCAGCTGCTGCTGAAGTTCGTCACATCGATGTTCTGCCAGGAAGACAGGGAGATGCAACAGAGGTCTGAACACATGCACCCCCCATTTTCCAGCTTTAGAATGGCTGTAAAACACATTTCCTGACTGCTGGGAAAAAAGTGCCGTGGCACAATGAATGCAATAAAACATGAAGCGATTGTTTTCGTAGCTGCTCTGCTCAGATGTTTTTTGGGTGGACTGGAGCTTCTCTATTTTAGTTCCATGTTTCTGGTTTGAAAACCGCTCTTTTTTCATTATGGTGTCTTAAATCAATGTTGTTCAAAGTCCGTACACAACCGAGTGCAACACAAGCACCGTGAAACTACGGTGGTTAAATCGGATCATACAAGTGTACACTTGACTCAAAATAAATTACAGTTTGTTCCAGCACCTTCTGGGACACAGATTACTGCATTTACCTTGAAAAGTTCATTTCAAACTCCATATTATGAAAACATACATCATCGAATACCCTTGTAAAGCACTAATGCTTTTTTTCATAGCAGCCAATAAGACTAGAATTCAGCATCTTTGCAAACCAAACATATACAGAAGATACCTAAATATAAGAGTTTTTTCTCCTTTGGTCTGAGATCACTTTCAATGTGATGCTGATTTCAGGTAAATGAAAAATTGCATCATGAAACAGGGCTCAGGCTTAGACATTGTCTAACAATGTCATGCTCTTGATTGTTCACGGTCTCATTAACTATAATCCATACCTAATTGTTGTGCTGTCATAGATACCACTATCACAAACAGTACCATAACAAACTCCTCTTCAAGGCAAAAATGGAATAATGCAAAGCAAATTCTAAGCATATACAACATATAAATTAAAATTAAAGCACAGTCATTTTAGAAACAGTTTCTATCCCTTATCTATATAGTATTTTATTTTGTTAGGGCTTAAGTAATCTCTATATAACTGTTTATAAATTTGTGAAACAAAATGATTTTCATCATAACATTCTTTGGCAAATAAAATGATCTCTGCACTCTTTATCACCAGAACACGGCACATGTTTAAAAACACGATCTGTGTATGTTATCCCTCTAATTTAAAATCCGAGATGGGAGAGATACAGACAGTGCTCCAGAATCATTCAGACAAAGTGACAGAAAATCTGTACCTAGGTATTCACCTTGAATAGACTCTCTTCTGAGGTTTGTTCTAAACACCAACAATCAAAGACACTTTGTGTGTGGAAAAAAAATTAAAATCCTCTTTATCTGTCAAAAACTATAAAATGGCATTTCAGGTTCAAGTCAACTACCAAGACATTGCAAATGGGTGAAGTCCAGGTAAGCCTCAGTGCATTATTAGTTGACAGGTTTGGGAAGGTGATGTTTTAAATTAAAACAAAGTATCTGTATTGTTTGGGTATTCCTAATATTCAACATCATATTGTAAATTTGTTGAAGTACATTTGGGGAATCAGGCACATATTTTAGTAGCAATCCCAGGATTACCTGAGATAATGACTTGACAGCGGGAGTATCTGAGAAAGGCTGAGGCCGATTAAACTGTGCCCTTAGATTTCACTATACAGTGAGAGATAACAAGAGTATCAGTAAAACACAAATTTTAAAATAAACTGAAAGCAGGAAGCCTGAAATAATTGAATTATTGCCCATTTTGCAAACTGCAGCTGCATCAGTCTGTACTGTACTGGATCTCTTGGGTTTGTTCAGTTACTCTGTAAAGGAAGGAACTGAGGCTTCAAACAACTTCAGTTCTGATAGTCTCGATTTCAGTTGTGGTCATGAAGATTTCCTATACGTGAAAACTTTTCTCTGAAATTACATTTGAGCTTATCTGACTAATTCGATCTGTGGAAGATCAGCGGGAAAAGTTTACCGGCCTACCAGCTACACTTTCTGGTTGCAGTTTTTAAATGCAAATCAGAATGCTGCAGACGGTCTCTAGTCTTTTTAACCTCAGTATGACCCTGCTAAAAATACGAATAAAACATACCAGAAGGTTATGCTTTGGCGTTGTACAAACAAATGCCAGGTGTGTTTTGGGAGTGGGGAGAGTCTGATGCCCTGGCGTCTCTGGAGCAGTCCCTGCCGGCAGTGGGCTATTTCCTGACTCTCCTGTTCTCTTGTATCCACTGCCAGTGTAAATGTTGGGAACTGGGATGGGGGCCAGGGCTGTCACTCCGGGGTATTGCTCAGATGACTCTACACTCATTTGTTTCTTTTCATTTCTTATGTCTGGTTTCAAGGCCAACCTCATCACTTTCTTTTCTCCCCAAGAGGCTGAGGGGAATGATGCTATACTCAGGCCTCCTTCCTCCTGAGTGATGAGGTCGGTTGATTAGTCACAATTTAGAAACGGGCCCAGTTTCACTCCCTGTCCCAGCAGAAACAACATTAACAGCACACTAACCAGGATGTTGGTAGAACACAGTGCAGCTTACAGTACGTTTAGCATCTAACACCAGAGCCACATTCTCTTAACAGGAAAACACGCTAGTTTGACCTATTGTATAATGTTATTTATAGTACAGTCTTTTGCAAGCTTCAGAAGTATAAATGACACCGAGTGAGAGCCTGAAAAATTCCGATTCCCATTGCTGCTTTTGAACTATTTTTTAACTGTTAACAATTTCAAACACAAGAATACACAGGATCTCTTGGATGTTGTCACGGTTGACTTTTGGGTCATATCTCCTGAATATGAGTCGTTAGTCCTTTGCTAGGATCCATGTCAAGATCCAGACTGAAGATGAACAGGCCCAAACTTGGGATAAATAAAATGGGATTATTCAATCCTAATTTTCTAACTCGGATTCTGACAGAAATCCCAAATTCGGTACTTGCCATCACTGGGATCTGTGTCTCCGGATGCCCTGTCCGGCACCCCCTCAGGCAGTTAATTTACACGAGTGCATTAATGCTTCTTGCTCATGGCTGTCGCTAGACTTCCAAAGTATTCCAGAGCAGTTCTATTCGTCCATTACTAGACCGCTAATTCAGAGAAGAACACTGGGTTTTCAATGGGTTGAGAAGAGATAATGGATTGCCTTCAGCTATTTAAGGAAACTATAACAGCCTTTTACTGACAGCGCCTGAAAGAAATGCCACAGTAGGAATGGACACTGGGGCTGTATGGCCTTTTGAAAGGTGATGGAAAACGACAGTGACTAACCTATAGAAGAAGCACTACTGATCAATGTCAGAACAATGAAGAGGCACCAGAATTAATTTCCCACAAGTCAGTGGCAGACCGCAGAAAACAACTGCAATAATACTGGGAGTTATTAATTGTATTGATACCTTAAAAGGAATTGGTTTGACAATAATTTAGCTAGTCATGTAATGAAACTAAGAGAGAACCTCAATCTTGCACAGAGAAAAAGCACGTGAGAAAGGCATATGACACAATATATTTATGAGTGGCCAAATGAATGCTACCTATTAAGACTTAACTGCAGGAATGTACTGTTTTGGTTGATGTGAAGGTGCTGCAGAGCAGTGAGGCTGGGCTCTGGAGCACGGAGGAGCTTCCTGGACACTCTGGCTCAGGGGACTGCCGCGAATGTTAAAACAACAGAGGACATGGCTACTGTGCTGGGACAGGTCTCCCAAAGCAAACACAACATCAAGCACCAGGAAACGGCTCCTTCTCCACTTCAGAGGAAACGCCAGATGCCGAGAGCGGGGCGGGGGGCGTTAGAGATTTTTGTTTTGTTTTGGATATTTTATATAATTTCATGAGACTCCACCAGGTCACAATGCATAGCACACATCCATTGGCCTAACCTGGATTTATCTCCAATGACACAGAATGGAAACTCTTAGTAATTAAATACATTTTCTATCTGTCCCTTACAAAGTAGGCACCTGCTTGACAATTATTGATAACTAGTTTCAAGCGCTCCAGATCACGGCAGGTCATACCACATTGCCTGCTGTTTGATAGGCTCTCGGAGTATTTTCTACACTGTGGGTTTAACTGCTTATAATAGATGTGGTACATGCAGTTTTCCTGGTGCTTGGAAGCTTAACAAGCTCTTTTTTTAGTCGGCTCAGCAATCTGCTAGGCACCCACTGCAGCTCAGGGTCATTTCAGTTCAGGGCATGGCCACAGGGCAACAGCAGAGACCCCACGAGCAACCAAGCTGGTGCCACTGAAGACAGTCTAGCCCCCCACCCATTCCATCAAGTCCTGGAAGTGGCCCTGACTCCAGTTATAGTCCACATCTGAACCCTGAGAATCTAAAATATGCACTTATACACTTTAGTCCCTCTCTGAGTCAACTCAGGGTCATGTGCTTCAGAACATAGTCAAAACACCTTTTTGGCACCATGCTTCGACAGTTTCCAGCACCTCTTTGAATGTGTACAATGTGTGATGTGAAAAAAAATATTGGACAAATGTCTGCATATTCTACATGCCCTTTCCACCGACTCTGGTTTATTACACCAAAGTAAATGCATATGCTACAGAACAAAATATGTATTTCTTGACCGTTCTTGTGTCGAGGTTTGCAAAACTAAACATAAATCTGGAGAAAAACACGTCTTGACAGGATTAATCACTCAAAAATACTGCCCTCGCAATGAAATCCCTTTAAAACTTGGGATTGAAGCAAGTGGATTTTCACAAATGGGGACACATCGGAAGAGCTGAAACTGGTCTGCAGTAAGCTCAAGCACTGTTCCATCACGCTAAGATGGATCTCTGCCTGTTAGTATCTTTGCCAGGTAGGACAACTTTTTTTCATTTCTTCATAATTTATTTTGCTTTTGTTAACCACCATTGCCCATTATCTGGGGGCACCAGAAGATTCCCTGTAAATGTGTCTTTGGAAGTTTCCCTTTTTTACTTTTTCACTTATAACCAAACGGAAACTGAAAGTAAATGAAGCAATAAACAGGTGGAAAACCACCTCTGTGGGCAGCCACAGTCTGAATTATTTCCTGTTCACTCTCACCCAGCTGTGCATGTGTACTGCATGTATATGAGGGCCTGAAAATGTTTAGAATGTGCTTCTAACACCTTAACATGAGCATGCACATCTTAAAATAAGGCTAATAACAGTGTACAACTCTCAGGAAGGTATCTGTGTGCAACACCCGACATGAGCAACCTAAACCTGGACCAAGTGAATTAGGTTGTCAATTCTGGAGATCACTAAAGTGTTCTAGACACCCATGTGTTAACAGCATTTAAAATGACATTTCTAACTAAAAATAAAGGAAAAATAAAACCATATTCAAAAGGAAGCACTGAAAAATTCTTTAGTTTAGCTTCCATCCAAACAAATGCATCAGTGAATTTATGAGATGTGCAACAGAGCCTGTACTATTAATTGGGCGTTTATGGCATATATCAAATTTATCATTTAGTTTCCCTTTTTACACAGAAGCAAAACAAGCTCTTTAGCAACATTTTCAATTTCATTCTGAATAATTGGCAGAGAGGCATGTGGAGGTACAGAGTCCTTTGTGCTAATAAAATAATAAAAAATTGAACATAACATTAGGACATTAATAATACATCTGACAGACTGTTGCTTTCTGATGTGCGACTTAATTAAATTAATCGCATCAGATTAAACAAGC